CTTCTTTTTCTTCTTCTTTTTCTTCTTCTTCTTCTTCTTCTTCTTCTTCTTCTTCTTCTTCTTCTTCTTCTTCTTCTTCTTCTTCTTCTTCTTCCTCCTCCTCCTTCCCGTTCGTCCTTTTGTTCCGCTTCCTTCCTTCCTTCCTCAGTTTCTTTCTGTGTGTGCTCAAGGACGAGAAATTCCTGAAACCCAAAGCAACGTTTTTACCAAATTTACGGCTAATAGAGTTGTAATGATGGGACCTTCGCACCCAAAAGCCCTAAATGGAGTTAAAAAATTGAGTAGATTGCGGGTTTCCTGTGTTACGGATAGCGTGACCAACACGTGACGGATGTTGTCACAGAAGACCCCTAGAACCCATTCTTCTTATAAACCCATGAATTAGGCCTTGCATAATGACTTAGCTTGCTTCAAAGAAAGATTTCTCCAGCTTATTATAAGGTTTTAGCAAGTCCTCCCTCTTAGAAAAGATGTCAGATATTCCATTGAGCTTAGAAGCTATCCGTCAGCTTCTGACGCCTTTGTCTTGTACAGATACTTGTTATGAGATCGCGCACACTTGGACGCCATCTTGTTTTGAGGGTTGCTTCTCTATCTTCAGGTCGATCATGAGAGAATCTCTGAAGATTTATCCGCCATTGTACTTGGTAAGTACTAACGAAAAAAAGATAATTTTGTGCAGGAAAATTTTCTTTCAAAACTTTCTTTAATCTTAGGAATTAAATTTAATGACACTGCTGAACTGAGCTGACTGCACATATACATGTATGAAGTTTAATAATACAGAATTTTTCTGACCAACATTATCTCGAGACGTACTGCATTTACTAAAATGATCCACAACTTCTAAGTTTTTGGCTATAATGTAATGTTTTTGTATGGTAGAAGTTTTTCTGTTAATGGTTCTCTCTCCCCTCCCTCCCCCCTTAGTTTAACTTTGCCTTTTGTGTTATTTACCCGCGACTTTGGGAGCAATTTGCATTACCGTCATTTGCATTGCTACGCGGCCACCCCAGACAAAAATCGTGACATGCACTTTGCAATAGACAGCCGTCAATCAAACACTTTGACATCATTTACACGCATTTGGATCAGCCCGGTGAGCGTGGCTCATACTGGAAATACTTGTAAATGTAAACAATCAACAAGTTTTGGCGCGTTTTGAATCACACATGTGTGTAAATGACATCAACGTGTTTGATTGACRGCAGTCTATTGCAAAGTGCATGTCGCGATTTTTGTCTGGGGTGGCCGCGTAGCAATGCAAACGAAGGTAATATAATAACTCTTTATCCTCRAAAATTACTGTCCCCTCTGTGGGGGAGGTATGGATATTTCTGGAACTGCACAATATACCCTCCTCAGACCCTCCCCACACCTTGGAAATCCCAATCCCCAAAAGGTATGGAAATTTCTGGAACCACACTACATACCCTCCCCATATCTCTCCCCACCCTCCCTCTGTGGGGGAGGTATGGATGCTGTAACTTTTTATCCCTTTATTTGTCTTAGGTTGCAGCCATCCTTAGAAAAGAGAAATTTGAATACTTTACACAACGTTTCTTCCTAGACGTTTTACAGTCTGCACTTGCTATAGCTGTCAATGGTAGTTTCTTTGTTGGATGGGTTTGTGTAGTTAGGTAAGGAAAGAAAATTTATTTTWAAAAAATTCAAAATGGTCATTTTGGAAGTTACAGACTAAGACCCAAGAAACTGTGGGACAAGATATTGATGTTAATTAATCATATTTCTTTGTTTTTAAAGAAAATGTTTAGGGAAATTCTATTTCCTGTCAATGGGTTTGTTGCCAGGCTTCCTGGCCTCTGTGATGGGAATAAATGTTGAGAGAAAGGAAAGACGAGGGATCCTATCATTATACATGTTTAATCTGGTATGTCTTTGATGTATGTATTTATCTTGCGCGAAATGTTTTCCTTTTTCAGCTGCAAAAGGGGTGGGACAGGGCAGAAGGGCGTCTCTTATAATTTTATTCTTAGCCCCCCACGCCCCCAACACACACACTTTTTAGGGTGCTTCACAGCCCCTGGTTGGTGAGAGGTAGTTGCTCTCACTGTGCTCACGACGCTGGTGACAACCATCTCCAGTGGCCATGCTAACAATACAGAGCCCACAGTAATTGGCTATGCTGTGGTGCTGACCCTGCCCTCACAGAAAAAACAAAATACAAAAATAAGATACAAAAATAAAATACTAAAACAAAATACGAAAATAGAAATAAAGATGAATAGGTTATATTAGTTGTATGATAATGTTTTGTTTATTTTCAACACTATCAGGCAATTGAGATGATATACAATGTTCTTAAAAAGCGTGGTTACATTATTCCTGTTCCTTATGGAGAGGTAAGATTATGGGCTGACCATCTATAGTTGCCGTGCCATGCATGTCTGAAAAAATTTAGTGAAGAAATAAAGGAAATTGTTGAGGTGAATGGGATTGGTAAATTTTGATAATTCAAAATCTTGCAGCATTGAGACCTGTTCATCCTGACTGATTCATTGAGTAAAAAAACACACGAAAGAAGTGTAAGGAGAAACACGAGCCGTAGGGGAGTGCTTCTCACACTCCTTGTGCTTACGTGCTTTATTACTAAATGGACCACGGAAAAAGCTGTTTTATTTGTTTTATTATATAGTTACCAATTTTTTTCAACATTAAATTTATTTATGGAAAAAAAGACAGTGGCAGGATCTAGCAGCGCTGTGCTCCATTCACTAATAAAGCACAGTTTTGGACCAATCAGAGCGTGCATGCTATCCTAACTATATAATAATTTGTAGTAAATAGTGTAGAGATTTTTTAAACAAATGTTTCTAGACCTGTGTCCCTTCCTCAGTGTAAAATGATCAACTTGAATAAAACCCATCTTATCACTAGAGGCAATGAAGTAAAACAATAAAAACATAACTGATGCAAGGGTAGATAAAGCCAGCTGCTCAGCACATTTCTTGTTTTCATAGGTGTGGATATTGTGTGTAACAAGTGCCATTATGATGTATTTATACAGGTAAACAATAATGAAAAGGTCAAGGCCTTAAAGTAATGGCCAATCAGTTGCCGGTCATGATCACAGGCTAAATTAGTTTTAGCTTAGTCATACCTTATTTCTGGCTTAACCTTACTGGTCAAAATGACCAGCAAGGCAAAGATTTGGCCAGAGAAGCCCCAGTTCTGGACGGACATTGTCAGATGTCCATCCATTATTTTAAGCCCTGAGGTCATAATAAACTTTAATGAAAGTCACACTCTATCTTTGCTTTTCTTATTTCCTGTGTATAATACTTTTCAGGAGTGAAGATGGATTAAGAAGAGGAGCCCTGAAGTCACTAATTAGGTCAGTTGACTTTTTCTTTAAAATACGGAAATCTAAAATTGTGTTACTGGCTGGGAACATTGGACATAGTTCACCTAGGCAGAATATTTTTGCCATTTCAAACCATGTAGTATTCTTTTGAGGATAAGATTCTTTGTAAAAGTAAATGGTTTGAACCCAGGTGTTGAAGTTTGTTGTGAAGTGTGATCCTCTGGGTCAGTGTAGTCTTGAGAAAGACTGTTGTTGGTAGTGACTGTCGTTTTAACAGCCTGAGTGGAGTCCAGAAAACAAGAGAAATCTTTCTTTTAGTCATATCCATATTCGTGTCTTCTCATGCACAACCATTAAACAAAGAAATAATACTCTTGGGAATGACACATGGTCTGAAATGGGAAAAATCTTATTGTACCAAGGCGAACAAGGTCTATTATTATGTACTTATTGACTGAGTGGGAAAGCTGGATGGGAAAAATATTTTGTTTGAGGTCATGCTGTAGGGACAGAGTGCAGCGAATCATATGTTGCAAAAGWGGCTGAAAATTCCTGCAAAAAGTAATAAATACAGCATACATAAACCAAGGAGGGAGGGCTGGACGGGTTTTTCTAGCCCGCTTACATCAACCTGTCCGGCCCCTAACATGTGGCTTTTTAAAAAAGTTTTAGTAGAGTGTGCAAGCAGGGCCATGTGGGTCATATGATAAATACCAGTATAATTTCCATTTTTTTATTCAACGTCTGTACCTTGTCATCCCACAGGTTTTTTGTTGGCTCACAAGGGCCAGAAAATGTCAAAGGAATCAAGAATAATCAGAATGTACCTCCACAAATTTGTAATAGGATTCAGTATCAGCTGTCTTTAGACTGGTAAGAAAGGGATCAGTGGAGTTTGTCAATGTATTGATGAATTTATTGAATGATTTCTTTTTTTCCCCTCAATTCCAGTATAAAACAAAGTTTGAAAGCTTTCACTGTAGGATTCGTGCTGCAGCTTCTTCCTCAATTACCGAAAGCTTTCCGAACGCCAAGTAAGCAACACATAAATCTTAAAACTTTGTCATGAAGAAATAGAAAATGTGAGTGTGCTGCGTGTAGTGTGCGGTGTGCAGTGCTGGGGGAGAGGGCCTTCAAGAGCTAGAGCTTGATTCTAAGATTAAATGTCGTGCTGACTCCTAGCACTTCTCTCTTGTACTGCCAAACCCCGTTTGCTTTATAACGGCACACAACAAAACACACCTTTTTTATATCTGTGTTACAGATTATTAGTGAAAATAACACACTATTAGTGAAAATTCTTAGGCATCTCATTAAATAGTAAAAAAATCCACAAAATACATGCATGTGCTGACAGTGTGCTCTTATGATTCACACATGCCATTCAATAAGAACGCAAGATTTATAATTTTGCAGTTAACATTATTCTATGGGGTTTTTTTTGGCAGCTACATGCATGATTGTATACCTAATAACTATTATTATTATCTGACCTTAAATCTACCAATAGACCGTTTTCTCAAGGTTACATGCTCATCCAAATTTAAGGAACTTGACATGACAAGATACCAGAACAGGAGCTTCATAATGAGAATAAGCCTGAAACAAGATGACGTTTTACCCCCATCTCTAGACCATAATCCTTTTCACATTGCTTTTGTTCTTTAATTATGACTATTGTTCCTGTATTCTCTAAGGAAACAAAAATTTTAATAATAAAGGATTTTAAAAACTATTATGGTATAGAGTCGGGGGTAAAACGTCATCTCGCTTCAGGCTTATTATCATTTATTTCTATGTGATTTTTTGATAAGAATTCATTAAATCGATTATTTTCCTCTTTAAATATAAAGCTGGCTTTTCAATTTTACTGAATTTGCATTTTTCAATTTTGTTAACCATCAAGTTGGATGCGCATGCAACCTTTAGAAAACAGTTTATTGGTATATTTTTAACTGCTCCAAAACTTTGATAAGAATGTGTTTCAAAGATAAGAATGTTGTTCTTTAGGTAATTTCCCACAGAGCTTGTATAGTCCAGACAATTTCAAATGTGGTCTGTTTTTAGGAAGTTATGTTGGGATATTTAAGGTAAGTGAAACTAGATAATATTGTTTTTATGCTTTAGAACCCTAGTTTTTGAAAGGGTGGACTGTCTTGTGAAAGTTTATTTGGATATTTCAAAAATCAAACAGAGTACAACTATTTCAAAAAAGGTGGAATACTGAAAACTGCATACTGAATAGTGCATTCCAAGACCAAAGGGCATTGTGGGTCTTGTTAATTTGAAATAAAATTAAGCAAATATACAGCAATTAACTCTCTACATGTAGTAAGTATATAGTTTCAGATATAATAAACTAAAAAAAGAATAGTAATGATGAAAAGGTAAATTATACACTGTGAAAAAGATGAAAAAACGATGAAGGACTAGCGTCCGAAATGTCAGTAAGTTTTTTCATCTTTTTCACGGTGTATAATTTACYTTTTCATCATTACTGTTTCATTAGAAACACAGACGCAGCTCACACTAGTTTTTAGCTAGTTATATCTTCTTAAAAATAGAATAAATAATAATTATTAATTCTACTTTAGACAATGTCGCTGACCCTCAATGCGCTTAGGTCTTGGAATGCACTATTCGCTAATGCAGTATTCAGTATTCAACCTTTTTGAAATAGCTGTATGCCAGTTTAAACAAAAAAAGTAGTAAAAATCAACAGGTGAGTTAAGTGTTGTAATTTGTAAATATAAAACGTAAGATAGTAAGTGTATAAGAGCCCTTTACGGGGAGTAATGGATGTAAAATATAAGTTTTAAAAAAGTTTTTTGGTCTTGTAGCATTGACCAATTATCACCGAATATTGGAATACACTTTTTCATATGTTAGCTCAACATTTAGTTTCTTATTTTCACTGATTGTAATATTTGTAATGATGTTTCAGGTTGTAGAGTATTTACTGGCTGTATATCGTAAAAGACAAGATAATTTAAATGCATTAATTGCTGGTAATTTCATTTTATTTCATAACGATATTGTGTGATCAATTAATCTCCATTATCGAGTCTTCAGCAATCACAATCAGTAATTTGGTCTTTTTTAGGGTGTTAAAATGATTGAAATTTAGAAGCTCAGCATTTCTTGGAATCTTTTGGGGGTATACAGTAGAGCATTTTCACGTGACGTCACAGTGGCCATTATGGGGTACCAAAACAATACATTTTCTATCCTCCAGGAATTGAACTCTATTTTTATGCAAATACTGTGCAGAAAGTTTCTATTGTTTATGGCTGCCTTCTCACGTGAGTGAAAACGCTCTATCTCTTAGGGGTGTTCTGGTTGTCCAACCATGCCCTTTGTTATCTTTTAGGGGTATTTTTGAAAATGCCCAAAGGGCATACCCCATACTTTTACCCCGGAGTCCCCACCCCAATTCCAGCCTCAATTTGGAGCCATTGTTGTGTGGTCACTAAAGTGAATTCAGGAACAGCATATAATTAACTAATATTGTCATCAACCAGTCATCAAACATCAACTTAACGATTGCCACAAATCAATCATTTACATGTACCACTCATTATGATCAATGCTTTATTATAAACCAATCATTGTCATCATCAGACCAATTATCATCATTATCATCTTCATCAGCCAATAATCAATCAGACCAATTATCATCATCGTCATCATCAGCCGATAATCAATCAGACCACTCATCATTGTCAGCCAAAAATCAAATCAATCATCATCATTGTCATCATCAGCCAACAATCAATCAGACCTATCATCATCATCATCTTCAGCCAATAATCAATCAGAGCRATTATCAACATCGTCATCATCAGCCAACGATCAATCAGAGCACTCATCATCATCGTCAGCCAACAATCAGATCAATCATCAATTGTTATCATCAGCCAATAATCATTCAGACCAATCATCATCATCATCATCTTTTTCATCAGCCAATATTCAATCAGACAAATTATTACCATCTTCATCATCAGCCAATAATCAATCAGATCAACCATCATCATCAACAACAATATTAATAATCAATCAGACCACATTTTGTTAGCATTCAATAACCATCTTTTTATCTCATAGGTGGTCTGTCAGGTCTATCTATGATGTTTTATCGTAGCTCAACTATTGCTTTATATTTAGCATCCAAAATAGGAGAGGTAAGAAAATAATGGAGAACCAGAAAAAGACAGTGCTATATATTCTATAACTAAAATGTATTAAAACGTTGAAGGGGAAATTGTGAGGCTTGTTATTCATTGACAGACATAGAGATATAGAGGTTATTTACCAGTCCAGGTAGTCCAGATAGGGTAAAACTTTGCCAAGGGCACAGTTTTTTCCTATCTAGACCGACTGTAGGATGGTAAATAACTTATTTACTTTTTTACCATTTCTTTTGCAATGTTTTTTTAGCAAATCTTAATCTTACGTACACTCTTGAATGACGTAAGCAACCAGGATACCAGATTGAAGGCAGAGAAAGGAAACAGAAATCAGAACACATAATATTTTTAAAATATCAGGCCTGGAAAAAAAAGCTTAATTATTTGTTTTATCTTTCTATAGATTATGTACAAAAGAGGAGTAAGGCAAGGTATTTTGCCAACCATTCCTCATGCGACAATCTGGGTGTACAGCATCAGTACTGCATTGATATTTCATTCTGTGAGTCACATTTATTGTCTAGCTAAAACTATGATTCCTGTATCTACTGTACATGTTCTGCTCTACTCTTTGGCTCCTCTCTTCCTCTCTCCTCTCTCCTCTCTCCTCTCTCTTCTTCTCTCCTCTCTCTTCTTCTCTCCTCTCTCTTCTCCTCTCCTCTCCTATCCTCTCCTCCCATCTTGCTATTCTCTCTTCTTCTTTGATCTCTTCTCCCATCCTGTTCTACGGCATGTTAACTACCTTAAACATGACATCATATTTTTGTAGGCTTCCTTTGAAGTAGATACTGTACGCCCCTCTTACTGGAAGTACCTCAATCAAGTAACTGGAAAAAGGTTTGTATAAAGTATCTTTTACAGTACTTTTTGAACACAAGTATTTCATTGCTACTGTATAACAACCATACCTCCACCACAAAGGGGGGAATGGATATTTCTAAGGGGTGGGGTGGGGAGGGTCTGAAGAGCTTATACCTACCCCACCAAGGGGGATTAAAGAATAACTGCGAATATCATCATATTGGCAGCAGCTTATCAAACTTAATAATCATTGGCATCTCAAAGGATGTTTGATTTCAAAGAAAAGAAACTTTCTTGTAGCCTTTAGGGATAAGGATAGAAGGAGACAGTGATAGTAAAAGGAATGTAGCATATCGAGCTGAGGTCCCTTGCGTTTAACCCAGTAAGATCAAACCTTCTTTTTTCTGTAGATTTTTCAAGATGAACAGACAGCGCCTTGCTCAGGTTTTTGGAGCAAAAAGCCTCAAAATTTATTGAAAAAGCAAGTCTAAATTTATGATGACTAAGATAACTAATTCTAGCACTAAAAATAAATCAGCAAGGACGGGGACTAATCAWTGTCTTTCTTTCTCTGTAATATTTCATCCTTGACAAAATTTTCACCTCTATTCTTTTCCTCTTAAAGTTGGGTTACCTGTGGTAAGGTTACTGAGAAAGACTGGGGCAGTCAGAGCCAGTCTTCACTCTACATTGCCATCAATCTCATACCCAGAGTCCTCCAGGAACTTCCTGTTTTGTGTTATTGGCACCAACCCGCTGACAAAAATGCCAGAGGACTCAGGGCTCGAGATTGACTTTGCCATATGAAACCCATCATGTCCACGAGCACGAATGTCTAGCACAAAGCATGATGGGAAACCGAGTACTAACGGTTTTTCAGCTCCTCTAATGAAAATCCCTTAGACAATCTTTTCTTCAACATTTTCTATGGAAATGTGAGCATTTCAACAGAAGAAAATAACAGTATTTTTCCTCTGATAATTCTATTGCTTTCCTCGTTCTGTTTAGTGTAGTACTCAGTTTCCCATCATGCTCTGGGCTAGAGATTCGTGGTCGTGCACATTGGCTATTAGCCATTCTGAGGTTGAGGAAAAAACAGGGTAGCGTTGGCATAACAGTGCATTAGTGGTGCTGTTTTAGGGGACATGTTTGTAAGATGGCATCAAATTCTTCCTCAATAAACACCTCAAAATGCACTCCACTGCCAACTCAACCCAGTTTTTTTCTCAACCTCAGAATGGCAAGTAGCACATATCTGCTATTTGCACACCTTTTTCGCCCGTTTTACTGCACTTTTATATATTTTTTATTTATAATTTTAGTCTCGTATTCCACTCCACCATTGTGACGCGAAAATACCTTCCTTTTGTTCTTTGCAGTTTCTCAATTTATACCAATTTTTGTTTTAGATTCTGCGAAATCAACCGACAGAGACTAGGTGATATCTTTGGGCTCGACTCTGCCAAGTTGTTCCCTCCTGATGATCTGTACATGTCTTTAAGAAGATAATGATTTAGAGAGGAAGAGAATATCATCTTTAGCAGGTGAAGATTTGACAGTTAAAATGGACTAATTTTCAAATTGGGGTAAGATAGGGGTTCTGGACCACGCCAAGTCCTAAGCAAGATATTTTAAGCAAATCGGCAACAGTGGATTGGTATTTAGGCCACACTCGTTTACTAATGATAATTATCCAATTGATTAGAGTGTCATTTCTAACTGGGAACTTTCGTAGTACACGAGCTAATTTTATAATTATAGAAGTTGAAAGCGAAACGGTCTTAATGAAGTAATACCTCATCCCTTCATTATCAGCCATAATTATCTAAATTAATCATGTTATTTCTAACTGGAAACTATCGTAAGACAAGCTAATTTTATACACTAGTAGATCAATTGTAGAGGTTGTTTGCACAGCAACCACAGAGGAGTTATACCTTGATCATACACAGTTACTCAACATAATTAGCCAAATTATTCATGTCATTTCTAACTGGGAACTATCGTAAGACAAGCTAATTTTGTACGCTAGTAGGACTAATTGTAGAGGTTGTAACCTTGATCAAATCAGTCACTAAACGTAATTATCCAAATCATTCATGTCATTTCTAATTGGGAAATAACGTAACACACAAGCTAATTTTCTACATTTTTTCAAGAGAACATACACAAAATATCCTCATTGAAATGATATACTCTGCAAAGATGTTACATCCAGTGCTAGTCATCATCGAGTTTTCATCTCATACCACGCATTTGCTGTGGAAGTCCTCCAGATATTGACTTCTCAGTACAAAATGATGAGGATTACTTGAATTAAGCTGCAAGGCTCTTACAAAACCCAATGTTAACGAGGTGATTTTATATAATCAAAAAGATTGACAATTCTTGATTCGATTTTTCAATGCTTTACTATGTGAAATCCGCATGTCATGAACTGTCTTGATATCTATCAATATTTATAATAATTTATTAATATTCTTATAATAAAGGGAAAATCAATAATTAAAAATCGGATCGAGAAAACTCCTCTGTACCACTCTCCACTCTTGGTAGCAAACAGAGGTCTCGTTTGAGTTTCCTTTTTATTAATTTCGTTATTTTTATTAATTTGCGTCTAGCAGCTCCTAGCAAATTGACGTTAACTTTAAACCATCACCGCATTGATTTCATTTTCGCTGCCTGCTTTTGCCATGACAACGGCATATGTATTACTATGGTAACCATTGCCATGATGACCACTTCCATAACTTTAGTGACAAATACCATCACCGTGGATGTTCCATAACCAATGGTTGTTTCCAAGGAAAACTTAAGTTTCTTGAAAGACTCTTGAATGTTAGCCTTAATAGAAATTATATGAGAGCGCTTCACTGAGTCTGAAAATGTAATGATAAAAGTGTAAATTTTTCACCGTGAAAAGATGAAAAAGATGAAAAAACTTACTGACGTTTCGGACGCTAGTCCTTCGTCGGAGTAAAAGAGAGTTTGAAAATGGTTTGGAAGAGTTGAATTGATTTTTTWATGCTTCGCATTCTTGAATGCACAAAAACAATTTAGACGTTGGAGATTTCTGAGACCGCTTCCACATCTTATGCAACATTGCTCACGTTAAAAATGTTGAATGCTAGTTTCATCCTAGATATGCAGCTTACGTGTTTTCACAACTCGTTTTTCAAAGAGATTCAAAATTAAAACAATTACTTTACACTGAACACTCATTCTCTTCCCGAATATATTGTGAAATCTTTTCTTCTTTTCCAATGTTCAATTTTTCGAAATAGTCTTTCCTCTGGACCTGCAAAGGCTATTTTCCTTCTAACTTTTTCAAAAAATGACATTTACCTCTCTTCGTGGGACTCGGTGAACGAGAACTAATAGCAAAATGACTACTACTGGAAAARAGGTATCTTCTTCAAAGTTACCCTCTCTTGATGCCTCTACTGACTTACCGTAACAAGTTGCATGCTGGTCTAGCTGGGGTACAAACATCTTTTTTCCATCATTAGTTCATCATGACTTATATAGTGTTGGTTTCTACTAAATATAGACCACAATGCACTTCTCGTGTAAATGAAAACATCCTTTGAAATGATTGTTATATTACAGTCGTTGCCTCCGGGATTTTTATAAGTAACTTCATTTCTACCAAATTAACTAACTATCTAAGCCAATTTAGGTATTATATCAAAGCTTAGAAAGAGTCTCCAATCTTATAAGGTCACAACCTTTCCAGTCTACTTCAATCTTCTCACGTTTTTGTACCCTAAAACGTTTCTGGCTTGTCTCACTTAAACGAAGGCTTGTATGGATTCTTCCGGTTTCTAAAACAATTTTTAGTTGCGTAGTCTTCATTTCACCCTATAATTTGCTGAAACAAGACTATCTGGTTTGTTTTTCCGTTTAAACTAGAAATAAAGTTGCCGAAAACCGGTGGACTTTTCGGATGTCGTAACATTTTCTCGTCCCACTTTAGCTGCGTTGAATCTTTCGATTCATTGACGCACGTGTTTTCTGTGACACGATTCGTGCACGCAATCGACTCCAGTTCAGTGCTTTCTGACCTGAACTCCTCTGTTTTGCCCTAAAAATGGCTAAAAATTGTTCAGAAATAAACTTAGCCTAATCCCTCGAATCCACAGGAAGAAACTATGCACCAGAATGCTGAAACACGCCAGCTAATATTGTCGCCTACGGCAGGGATCTCTCAACGAGTACCTACTAACCGGCTCTCCTCTACTTCTAGTCGGTGCGGTGAAACTGTAGAATAATCACGAATAATCCTTTTTTGTTTAATTTCTCTGCTGAAGAGGTTTATAGAACGAGACCGATTCAATTCTTAACTATTCATAACTTTGCCAAGTTGGTGTCTGTCTTTTGAATGAGAGCTTAAGACCGCCATTTTGTTTTAGTATGATATTTCATATAGTTTTTTTTTTTTAATTTTAAATTTTAAATTTTTCGATAGCATGCTGAATTGTTCGTCTAAATTATGTTTCCCAAACTCTATTTTGTGCTTTGTATTGAACTAGGTTTTATTTTTCGTTTTATTATCATTTACTAAAAGACTTTTCATCTTTCAACTTTAACAAAACTATAAATATAGTTTGGTTTTCACGTTCTCAGCGTCCAAAATTACCTTCAAGTAACTCAAGTCTTGTCCGTTTTTTTTTTTAGGAATTTTCACACGAACTAATCCTTGAAAGATGTTTTTCATTTTCATGTCAAAATGTGTTTTTAATCTATTCATACTAAAGGCAATAGAAATCTAATTAATGTAGTTATAATTCAATTCATATTTAGCCCTTCATGTCTAGTAATTTCGTGTTGAAGGATGTGTGTGTTGTAAATCCGATAAATCCATCTCATGTGTGAAAATAATTGCAATTCCACTCGGATAGTACAGTTAAATTTGATTTAAAATGGCTTTAAATCGGGGTCAAAGCTTCTCTACTATTATGTTCCTTCGAGCTCTAGTAGAATAGTTTTAAAATCAACTTCATGTTCGTTTTTGGCCAAAATTGGTGTTTTTCGCTTTAACCTTTTTTGAAAGACTTCGATTTTGAGTTCCCATTCTGCCGGCTTCTGAAGTGTGACAGATTTTTTTTTTTTTTTTTTYCTTTCTACAGTGTGCTAAAGATGTTCCACGTTATTTAGGACAAAGCTTATTTTTTCAGATGCCTTTCCGGCCAAGGGTTAATGTGGTCCATTTAGTCGATCCCACCATATCTTTTCAAAACGTTCGTAAGAATTCCATTAARGAAATCTTACCCCTCGTTCAAAAGCTATTTCAAATACACCTCAAACCTATTAAACATGCCCTCTGTGGCACCGAGAGGAAATGCTTGAATCATTTGTAAACACATCGGTAATTTCTAAGGTCTTGAGGAAGGAAAGTAGTCTTTTTGGTACAAAATTTCCGAGGACGTTGGTGGTTGTTAAACCGGCGTCAGTCAATTTAAAGCTAAACTATACCGAAAGGGAAAATATGGTTGAAATGAGGTTAGATAACTTGTTGAAAAACATACAGTTTAAGAAATACTTACTTTAGGAACTACGGAGAAAACTGAATTTAGATGAAGCTTAAAATTAGTTCAGCATTTTCAATTCACCCTCAACATTATTTTCTTTTTCATTCTTTCTTTCTTTCTTTTTTTCTCCAGTTTTCTTTTCTATTTCTATATAGACATAGATATAAATTAAGAGAAGTTCGACAAGCTCTTTTGGGTCCGACATGACAAATATCTTCGCTTCCCACGTTGTCAAATCACCAAGATTTTCATTAAAAATTCTAGTTTTCATTTGGAGATGTGTTTAGACACATGGCTTTGTTCATTGATAAACTTTGTCGTTATACAAATGAATCCAATCTGTCATTATCATCTAATGCCCTCATCTTGACACAAACGCAGCCTATAAAGCTAACAAAAATAAAGCTCAATGCTTTTACTCCTGTCTCGAGAAAAACCATTCTGACGTAGTTGAATGTCTATGTCAATAAAGTCTTAACTCCCCTAAAAGAATTCCCTTTATTAAGCTAAACACTTATTGGTTTTTCAACGCTAATTTTAAAGGGAGTTGGCTGGAATCATCGAATAAAAACAGATGGTTGTCCATGGATTATTTTGAGGTCAGTCTAGGATTCATTGCATTGGCGCGCGCGTATCTGAAATGCTTTCCCGCGGGAAATTTTAGCTTCGGGACATGCTGCACTGAAAGATTTATGTAGGTCTAGTTCTATCAGTTACAATCAATCTTGTTCAAAAATTCAAAAGTCCGATTTTTATCTATGAAGTTCTAGGCCATCAAATTGTTGACTTGATCCGACGCCTTTAGATTCATTTGGTGGCTCCCATCTTCGTAATTTTGACAGATCTTTCCCTCGAAGCTAACAAGATCTATATTTCCTATTTGCTCTCTGACTTTATCATTCGAGAACTTGATCTCAATTCTCACTCTTATCGAGTGATTTCCCCCATAATTTATCTTAGGAGCTTTCTCTTTGTTCATTAACAGATCCCTTCAAGTGTGCCTAAATTGACATAAGTTTAAAAGAGAAAACATTAAAATCCAACATCATTAATGAGCCTTCTTCCCTTTGTTGTCTGCTTATCATTTTTGACGTATTTAAGGTTGTATCTATTCACGAATTATCGCTATTCCCTTCCTTGGGCTGCGCCACATCATTTACAAATGTCTACTATGTCTCCTTTCTGTAGCGTGGTCCAAACACTATTAAAAAACTTGTCTTACTGTCAACCAACTTAATTTAGAAACCCCCTTCTTTTGGCATGTGTCAGACACTCCTATTTCATTAGTAGACTGGAAATTCACTCTCAAACCTTATGTTATTACTTCATGACAACTCTTTTTCCTTTCGATGCCAAATTCATTTCGACTGGGCGTTTTGAAAAATGACTGAGACTTCGTATCGATTCAATTCTCCCGCTATATCGATTCTCTTTTCGCGAACGCGAGAAACCTAATTTAGTTCTTGACCGGCCTGGACTTGAAGAGTCAAAACGCGTGTACGATATCTATAACAGGTCTTATTCAATCTCTCTTTCGTTTAATTCTCGAATCCAAACAAATTTAGAGTGAAATAGAACGTTTTTAACGAGACCTCTTTGAAAAGACCCGAATAGGCTAATGCAATTATCTTTGCGGTAGCAATCGTTTCCTCCACCATTATCATTCATCTAAGACACATTAGTTTTGAGGCTCGTAGATGAATTCATTTTCATTTGGGTGGGATTTTATTTCTGTTTATTGGTTTTTGTGTAATTGAAAGTATATTTGATGTTTACGATGTTTATTCTCCTTTCTTATTGTTCCTAAATATAGCTTGGGTACTTGAACGGCGCGCGTCTTTTTTCCCGCCAAAACAAAATGGCGGAGAAACAAGTTTTTTCATTCCCAATTTTTTGCTTTAAATCTAATTTCATGGTTTTTTCCCTCGGCATTTTAGCAAATTATAGAGGCTTACAAACACGCAAAGATGTAGTCTGAATGTCGTCTGAAAGGTTTTGAGGATTTGATTTTGTGTGATGAAGATAAATAATTAGTTTAGAAGTTTGCCGACAAGATAACATTAGTGAATACTTTTTTTACAGCAGTTTACAAGTATGGGATGGTAAAATTTGAAAAATCCACGGAATTGCTTCGAAAATTAAAAGAAATTCCAATCGCAAATCCTTTGCCAAATATCATTTTCTTTGTAAATAAATCCAAATGGAGATAACATTGTTTTCCTTAATTTCTTTGATTCAAAAGACCATGTTTTATTTGTCATATTTACGACGCCATTGTGGCGCCAAGGACCGGCTGTGTTCCAACAAACCTCAATTTCTTATCCATAATTTCCTAACTATTTTCCTTAAAAGAAATTTATTTTTCAAGGAAGTTGTGGCAGGATCCGGCCCCAAGCGCCTTTTCTCTGTCGATGAAACATCATTTCCTACGAGAATAATAAACAAAATATACAACCATTTTTCCACACGAAAAAAAATTCCTCACGCAATAAGCTTAAGCTGGCTTTGATTTCTTCAGATGTTTTGAGCAGTAATAACTTAGAGCTATGAATTATTTTTTTCACCAGAAACAATTAGGAAACATTGCTAAAGGTCTAATTGTTTTGTATTACTTTAGTAGCTCTCTGTAGCGTGAATACACCAGGACTCTTTTGTTTGCTTTTCTCGTTATGTCGTCCCATGGTCACGGCACCTCATGTAAAAATCCAATACCAATGATTATACCTAGTCCTTGTACATCCATAAATTTGGTCTCAGAAGATTAATTTTCACAATTAACTCAAACTTTTGAGCTGAATATGATGTCATCTTGTCTTAAATTACTGTACGAAATTTTAAGTAATCAGTTATATGACAAGGATTCCTATTTCAAATGAATAACTTTCTATTCCTTCGGCGTCCAATATAACTAAATTTGTCCCTTGAATTTACTACAAAGAACCTAAATCGTCTTCTTTTTGTATTAATAATTCGGACTAAATAGCAGCTGTTCGGCTATCGATGTACTGATCAAATTCTGAGAAAGTTTCTAAGAAGCAGTTGACATATTTACTGACCCGCCATCTTTGAAAAAACTATCATCGCTTTAATCAATATGAGTATCTTCCATATCTGCAGTAGACTTTTTCTGCTTCTCTTAGAAATCTTTTCGACTCCTTTTGTGTGTTTTTGAGGTCAAAGGTAGTTGTTTTTCTTTCGGTTTGTATCAATTATGGGCTCCTTACATTTCACACAAGTGTTTTTAAGTTTGAGGTACATAAAAAGCATAAAGGCATGCGAAAAAGTAGTCGGGACTTTGAAGTCTTTATACCATCTGTTATCAAAACAAAAAAGAGTGCACGAATTCGAATTTTCGCCGATGAGGGATCAGATTCCTCCTTGGGCCTGACAGACATTATTGCTTTCGTTCAGCAATTATTTCTTGTCGTTGAGCATATATCATCCCTCGCTTGATCCACATTGTCGATACGACAAAAATTGAATGAATCTTAACCACAACACTTTTTCCAAATTAAATTCACTTAGCAAAGCATGTCGCATTTAATTAAAAACATTAGATTTCTTCAAGATATATGCATCGAGTATTATTATCTCGTATTTTCCTTTAATTTCTAGCGATAAACCAAGAAATTTTATACTCCTAGGATTCTGCGATGGTCAAAGTTCGAGTGATCAGCTCCCTGAAAAAATATCTCTCAAAAACACAATTTCCCCTTGAAGTTCGATGTCAAAGCAATTTGTCAAAAAGTAAACGAGTCTTATTTTTATATGATGAACTTTTGAACTAATAAGAGATATCAGTGTTTAATGTCCAAGTAAAATGTCTATAAAACTAAATCACTTTAGCGTAGGAAGTATTTCATTTACTATAGAATAACATTTTTATGAGATTGTTATCGCCATCTTTGTCYCGAAAGACTACTTCAATAAAACGTTTTTTTCTCTCTCTCTCTCGTAAAAAGTTTGTTTTTTGAAGCTATGAATAACTCAATCTTCTGATTGACCTAGCAACTTCATTATATTATTTTACGTTTCTTTTATAAATATGACCAAGCCACGAGCGAAATGAAATGTCATTGTGGAAGTTGTTGTCTAGTGGTGTTTTTCCGGCCGGATTAACTGCAAATATCATTCGTATGACCAAACCTCATAATATATACTATATTTCACATTTTTACATTTATTCAAACTGTATTCAAAGATAATATTTTTAAGACGATCTAAAAAATTATGTTCATGGAAAAAAAATTGGCTCTTTTTACAAGAATTAATGAAATATCAGAGCGTTTTTGATGACTTAGTTCTACAACAGACAAAGAGTGTCATTTTACTTGCAAATGAATACGTCTGTAGGGAAGAACACTCCCAACTAAAAGAATGAGTTCATGTAATCAAATGATTTGTTATGGAAAACATTGAYATAAATTCACAACAGGAGATTGAATGGTGTTGGTTTTGGAACTGGGAAAAGTAACAAACACTGACTTGAAATAAGTAGTTTTCATTCGCATTATCAAGTGTTTGGAAAAATCAACCAGTGAAAAGAAAAATTAGCATTATTCTCTACAAAGCCTGGAAAAAACAACAAAAGTCTTAGTCACAATAGGGATTGGATTACGTTCAACAATGGTTGTATTCGTATGCTGTCCAACGCAAAACTTTGAGTTATCTTAAATAAGTGCTTTCATGGTTTTCGACAATGTGAAGTCATCTTAGTACCAAACAATGGGCTTCTTGGAACACTTTAATGAAGTCAAATTCGTATTTCAAGTTTTTTTCTATATTTCTCGGATATTTCATTCGTTTTTCATAATATTGTGGAGAGTTCACTCGAGTTGGAACTCTGGTGGCTTTGTTAAACGTTGCTTTTAGCTTCACTGGAGTTGATTTAGTGTCCTAATACATGTCTTCGTCAATGACCCAAATCGTTAGCGGTCATTCTTTGACAAATCTGATAGCGAAATAGCTCGCCTAAAGGCCTTGTTGGACTGAACAGCTGTCAAACAGTAGCCATCGGCGACAGTCCACTTGCTTTGCTTTGCTGAAATGACGGGTTGTTAGCAGCGGAGCTTGATATTGAAAGCGGAGTTGGTGGAATTAAAGTAGAATATTGATTATTGATAGTTTGTGGTTGCGGTTGAATTACTGGAGGTGGCTTACGAATCTCGCTCGCTGCAGCAAAGTCCATTTTCTTCTTCTTATGCTTCTTGCCCGTTTTCTTTATATAAAACATCCGCCACGATTTGAAAGTCTTCGTTGACCATATCCACATGTTAGAAGTGATTCCAATGATTAACAACATGAAATACTTTACTACGAAGACTTCTGTGTTCGGACCGTAGCTCTCTAAACACGCGCTGTCGTCCCGGCACATGAGAACGTAAAGAGGAGCCATAATCTCCCACGTTTTCATATTATTATGTTCATAGAAATAACAAACAACCACACAAGTCACAGGAATGATGTACAGCACGGAAAATACCCCGATTCGTACGATTAATTTTTCCAGTTTGTCCGTGTTGGTTTCCTTATTTTTCAACACTGTTCTAATGCGGAAAAGGGAAAAAAATCCCGCGAAGAGGAAGATTGTTCCGGCAACGAGGTACAAGACGAGTGGAACGATGACATAGTGTGCTAAATTTTTAGGATCAGTGTTGCCCACGTAGCAGAGCCCTGTGAGTTCGTCCGAGTCAACCTTCCGCATTATGAGAGCGAGGATAGTTTGTATGGCGGGAATCGTCCAAGCTATCACATGGAAGTACGTCGCTTTTCTCTCTATTGCCTCTTGACCCCACTTTCTCCCAGCAGCAAGAAACCAAGCTAAGGTTAAGACTACCCACCATAGAGCAGATGCCATCCCGAAGTAGTACAAAAGTAGAAACACCACAGAACAGCACGCGTGGTCGGCAACATTCATCCCAGACCTGATCAAATAGGTTTTCGTTGAATCACAAATCACAGCCTCCCGACCTGCGGCCATCCTGACTATATATCCCAGTGAATACAGATTATAGCAAACCGATAGAAATATGATCGGCCTTTCGGGGTATTTAAACCTAGTGGTGTCAATGGCAAATGTTAACACGGTGATGGCCGTGGATATGAAGCACAACACGGCCCAAACGCTTATCCAGATGTTCGCAAATCGTTTGTTTTCTTTAGAAAAGAGCAACTCACCCGGACACTTGGGAATGCACTGATCGTACTTAGACACATGAGTGTATTTGGTCTTCAAAGGTCCTGTATTGTTCGTGCAGGCCAGAGAAGCGTAAGTGTACGCAAGAGTCGCGTTCGGCCTGCTATAATACCCCCCATCTAGAGAATCAGTGGGGTTTACTTTGTCTTTATCATCTTTGGGCTCCGTGGGGATCTTTCCCGCTAGATTCTTAAAAATCTCTTTGAACTCCGGGCCCAAATTATCGATCGCGTTCAAAATAGTGCTATCGTTGACGGGCGTGTGTTTCATGTTCGGCGCTGCCATACAAAGTCGTTCAGGTTCACTTTTCGCTCTCGGGTCGTTCTTCTGGGAAAGACGGCTGCAGTCTAATGTATCTGGCCAGTCAAAGCCAAATCGACGCATCATCGGAGTACAACCACTGCGTGCTGCTTCGCACATCGAACGACACGCGTAGATCGGTGCTTTCACCTCTTTGGTGCACATCGGCGCGAACACCGAACAGAGAAAAAATCTTAATTGCGGGGCACAGTTCACGGCTATCAAAGGTTTGAACTCGTGGATCTTACTTTCCGCTTCTTTTTGATTATCTTGGCCAAGAAAATTCGGATACTGGGTATAATTGTATCCAATACCAGTGCACAATGGAATCGTGATCTTCTCGCATTTTGGTTGCGATTGCTTGGCGGTCTTGGTTTGTTGGGCGGCTGTGTTGAGACTACATCCAAACGAAGTCAGCCATATAATCATAAAAAGAAAAGTGTAGCGACGTAACTTGATTTTCCAAGCGAGCGCCATGTCGGCCTTCAAGCTGTGCTCTAAGAACAACAATATTCTGGAAACTTTGAAGTCCTGTATTCACTGGTGGTTGAACCAATCGTATCTACCTCCCCATCATATAGTGCGGTCTGCACTTCTACAGCTCGGCAGCTTTTTATCTAGTGGAGTTATTATTCCATGTATTTCATAAATGTCAAGCATTGATCCTACGTATCTGTCACTGTTGTCAATTACGCTATTCAACCAGGCGCAATTCTGATTGGTACATTAAGAAGAGTTAATCCCTCCGCCAATCCGAACAAAGCGACAGAGATTAAAGGAAACCGTCCGATGCTCGAGATGAGCCCTAATTGAAAGCGTGATGACATAAGATGGGATCATTGTTCTACAGTCTCTACTTAAAAACCAACTCACACCTAACCAAAAGACCAAGCCATATTTTGCCATCTATCATTTCAGGAAGATCACCCAGAAAATATTTCACCAAGCTATTAAAATGCGCTTAGACTATGTCTTATAATTATCGCTCGGTCTTAACCTACGCTTGATTGGAAAGGCTTATGCTCGACCAATTAAACGATCACTTGTGGTGATAATTCAAGCATAAGAGCTCTTAGTGTGAACGACGGACTTCTTTAGCTAACAATCCTCGTTTCGCTGCTTATTCCCTTCTTAAATTCATGCTGGGGGAAAAAGTTCGTGACCTCAGAGAATCGAATTTCGGTGTATTTTGGTTTCTTTCGTCGTGTGCCTAAAACAACAAATCCATAGAGTCAATGTATTCCGCGCAAGCCTCATTAGCGTCGCTAAAACTCTCTAATCAAATAAGAGATCTCGCGCTCAGTTCTCAAGCAAAATTATCGCGGAAGCTTGTCAATGAAGATTACCGCGAATTACGATACCGCTGCATTGTTGGTATTAATAAGAGAATACGATGAAATTCGAGGTAATATTTCAATCCTGTATTCAAAATAAAGCTTTACGGCTTTATAGGTGCTTTTACGCCAAGCCTTCATACATGCTACGGTATTTTGTGGTGTGTTTGTTTGGGAATAGTGAATTTGTTCCGAAGTCACGTCCGAGTTTCGGCTTCAATGAGAAATAGGAAACAGAGGTATGACAACTTGGAATACCTACTTGTGTATTATTTACCCAGAGGCCTGATGAAAAATGCTTCGAGCAGAACGACTCTCGACTTCTGGTCCTAAAAACTTGAATTTAGAAACGGCGATGGTTGAAAAAGTGTTTTGAAAAAGGAACTCTTTGTTCCGATTCAATTCAATGAATCAATCTCACAGTACGATGGCTGCATAACAACATAGCGTTCGTTGTTCGTCTACAAAGACATATTATTTGTTAGTTATAACCCCTAAGGATATTTATCCAAAACAGAAGTGCAATTAGGAAATAAATGGCTCATTTGAGAATTACTCGAACAAATTTGTGTTATATTTTAACAAGAATAGATAATGGAGTTGATTATTGTCAGCTTAGGGTAGTTGGAGATTATATCGCTCGCTTCCTTTAGCGTTTACATTGTGTAAAAATGACGATTAACTTTGTTTCTTAGAAACCGAAATGATTTCAATTTGTTACTTATTTAGTTTTCTTATCTTTATTTATTT